GTTCTGAATTCTATCCAAAAGTTCAGCACAGTTTACACACAGAAAACACAATTTTCTGATATTTTAAACATGATTTCAGCAAAATAAGTGTTTTCTTATAATTGTATTTGTCATCATCTCTTCATCTCTGTACATTTGACAAGTTTTGACTGACTCTACATGTACAGTTTTATATAGAACACAATTCCCTGGCAGAGGTGGGTCTTTCAAGTCGTGACTTGGACTTGAAGGTCAGTGACTTGGGACTTGACTTGGACTTGATGCTTCTAAAAATATGTTTTTAGAAAATACTTGTCTCTTTACAGTTGATACGTGCTGTACTTCATTTCACAGGAACAAACTGGAACATGTCCCTCCCACTTCTCTGTTACTATGGCAACAGTAAGTGCACTGAAAAAAGTGAAACATTGCTGCTGTTCATTCAATATGTTTTTTCCCATTGGCTTAAACAAAGAAAATCTAATTGGCCGGTACAATTTAAACAATACACATTACATCTTGTGTTTGTATTTATTTTTTCTATCTGCATCTAATTGATTAAAGCAAATCAACAGTAATTCACAATAGTTAATTGATCCAATGAATGTTCATTGAGCATGTCTTGCGCATGCGCTGTGCCAAGTCAATCCATCCACCATAGGGGGCAGCACTGACAACAGCCTCACGTGACTCTGCCCAATAACACAGTAGAATGTGACATGTGCCATGTGCTCTGACCTCTCAAGTTTCTCCACGGTGAAAGGTAATTAAAAAAAACAAAAAAACAACAAAAAAAAACACACATTTTGTTTTGTTTTACTTAGTATATGTGTCCCATTTGTATGTAAAGAGGTACAAAAAGTTAGCTACTTGGAGGTGATAAAAAAAATACAGTATTAGCTAGTTTTAAGTGTGTCTTCTAGATATTGAATTCATTGATTGGGTCATCAGAGCGATAAAATAGGGGATTTATTTTGGACAGCATGCGCGATTTTACCCTGATGTTTGCTTATGACGAGTGATTAGTTGGATTTTAGATTGCGCCGTTTTTGCGCGGATCATTTTGGGCTAACATCAATACATCGCCAGCGCTGGTGAACCGGTCCAGCTGTTATTATACACTGGTGTAAACTTGTCAAATTGCGAGTAGTCAGCACCAGATTTACGCATTTTGCGCGGTACGGCCAGGTGTAACTATTAAACCCAATGTGGCGGAGGCATAAGTCCCGGGATCAAACGAGCGGGCAGCGGCTGATGGAGCGGCGCGTGTTCCGTTCCTCCAGACTGGGAAGGGCCCTTGAACTGTACCTTTTATGAAACTAAATTAGTTCATCTATATACATATAAATGAACGCGCTCGCTCTCCCCTCGCCCGCTCCCAGGGTTGGGTACAGAAACCCCGGTACTGGTATTGAAAAAGTAACGTTCTTTCGGTGCCAGTTTTCCTTTGCTTTAAATGCGAGCGTCACCACTGCGCCCTAAAACTCAAAGGCACAAACAGCACTCATGTTTTAACATAATTCTACGTGTGTCCAAACGAAGCGCAGTGTGACATCTTACATGTAAAACAGAAGAGATGAAGAAACGACGTGCCACATAAAACTTTGATCCACCCGAAAATACATCCAGCCTTTTACAGTTCCTAAAAGTCAGTACGTAATGATAAATCCACATTTATTCAGTCTGTAATGTCCGCGTAAAATTGAAGCCAAACAGATAACATGAACCAAACTCCTGTGTGGAGCGTGCGTCTGCGTAAAGATGCAGCCAGACGCGTAAAGTTGAAGCCAAACTAATAATAATATGAGCTTAAACTCCGCCAAAATCCTCCTCCTCGTTGGTCTTTGTAAAAGCGCATTTCACAGATGTGGTGTATATATCCAAACGAGTCCGTCTGAAGTTCTCCATAGTCGTCCTCCTCCGTGCAGGTGACCGCGCAGCAGGTGCTTGAACTTGTTTATCAAAATAAAGAGCACGTGCTTCGTGCGCTGCTTAATGTAAAGAGGGCTACACGAAGAAAACAAAAGTGAAACTTAAGCGCGTATATTTGACTAGATCCATGGTGTAAGCCCACACAAGGATCAGCTGTGCACTCTGGTTCATTTGCATGCACATTTGTATGGATTTATAACTGAACATCGTATAGTAGCCTACTGTTTTTAATGTATGAATTAGTTAAAGTAATTCAAGGATTGAAAATTACTGTATTTATTATTATTAATACAAAAAAAAAAAATCTTATCAATGCAGCATTTTTGTTACACCATTCCTCTGTACATTTCTAGATGACCTGAGAGGAACTCCATGGTAACTCATAGGGGCCTTAAACGGACAAAATGAGCTTTTTCTGTACAACAACAAGATAGGGTGCTAATGACAGGACACGCCCTACTCACCTGTCTGTTCAATATGTTTACATCACATCTGAATGCAAAGAAAAGTACCAAGAATAGTATTGAGAAAAATAACAGTATTCTTATGTTTGCAGGCTTCACTGAATGCTGCACTGGATGTATCTACACAAGGCGCTCAGATTGCTGATTTTCCTTGAAGACCCTGTTTATGAAATAATAAAAGAACATCAGGTATGATAACGGTATATAAAATTAAAGCCTGTCATGTCTTATATCAAACTCCTCACCAATTGGCAGTATAATTGATGACCCTTTTTTGTGTTAAACATGTGAATGAAGCAAAACACAACTCCCGGTATGTTTATGAGGAAACAGATCAGAAAATAGTGTAATATGAACCCTTTAATGCTCCAAAATAAATCCAATATATTCTGATTGAGAATAGATAATAAAGAATAATATAATATAATAGATAATAAATAAATAATAAAATTAATAATAAATGCATACAATTTAAATATAAGCGGTTTGCACTTAAGTAATTATATAGGTAGTTTATTTTATTTTTGGACAATCTTCTAAAATGTTAAGCTATTTGGGGATACTTAAAGATTCACTATGAAAGTTTTCTAGAGGAGGTTCCATCACATGACCCCCCCCCCCCCCCCTGAAGCCCATTCAGATTCTAAATGCCATTTACAGTGGTCCTGTTAGTGAATAAATTCATTTGTAGTGATCTTGTTATTTTTAAAAAATGCATTAATTATATAACAACATATTAGTTGATGCAAATTTTAAAATATTAGCAATTAAACTGTAAATTCTACCATAGAATTCTCCACTGACCTCCAGCTCAGTCTTAAACTGTAGGGATTGTAGAATGTTGTGATGTCACGTGAACCCAACATTTTCTATGGTCTCCATCTCTATAATCACTGGATCTATCCACATGAAAAGAACTGGCACAAAGTTTAAATTTATGCATCATAAGTATGGAGATTTCTCTCAAAGTAAATCTGTTTTATATATAGTTATGAAGTCACTTCCCACCATCTGAAATCCTTGCATAAAATTTTAGAATATGAAGTATCTTTTACAAATTCTTAGAATGCATACATCATTGGAAAATTATATTTTGTGCTAATCTACTCATGTTTTGCAGGTACAGCAAGAATGCAGTGTGATGGAGGAAACAATGGCAGTTGTCATAAGTTGTTGCGTAACTACTTGCATATCACTGTGATGTTCACTTTTATGCACTGTTAATAAAAAGTAAAATCATTCAATGTGTTGTGAAATTACTAAGATTATAGGACCAAATAGATTGGATTAATCTATTACATGTACATTCATTTAATCTAGAATTTTAAATTGGCCTATAAATGCTAATGAATTTTTTAAAATTGACTCAATTAACTTTTGCGTGTTGAGGTAACGAATGTTTTCTTGTTGAAACAATTTATAATTTATTAACTGTTATAATATAAACTTTTTTAGTTTGACCAATTATGATCAATTAACAATAGATGTAAATTATTTCTATATAAATTGTAAATTAAACCAGTGTTTTATTTTTTTCAGTGTGAAGTGATGTTTTATCCTCAAATGTACTACAGTAATATACAGAACAATACAGTAAAACAGGGAACTACATAAAACATGATCCTTCCATTTCAGTGTAGACGACATGACAAAAACCCGATCAGAATCATTCACACTGAGATCTTGTCAAAATATTTAGAAAGGAAAATTGAGCATTTCTACAACTCATATAAATACTCGTATATAAACTGCAAGTCAAATACAGGCAAGTCCTCAAGTCCAGGTCAAGTCCATGTTGAGTTTCGAGCCACTGGCGCATAAGTCCTCAAGTCCAGGTCAAGTCCTAAGTCCTCAAGTCCAAGTCAAGTCCACGTTGAGTTTTGAGCCACTGGCGCATAAGTCCTCAAGTCCTCAAGTCCAGGTCAAGTCCCAAGTCAAGTCCCAAGTCAAATCCAAATCGAGTCTTGAGCCAGTGGCGCATAAGTCCTCAAGTCATTTCAAGTCTTTAAACCAAAGTACCAAATGCAGTATATGTTGATATAATATATAATATTAATGTAATATGAATATAGTACTACTACTACTAATAATAATAATAATATTGTGTTATGTATATGAATATTAAAGTAAATTGTACTTAAAAAGTCATGGTATATTTATATATGATATATACACACACACACACACATATATATATATATATTGACAAGATCTTGTGTGAATTATAACAGAAAAGAATTCAGATTTAAAAGTGTTTAATAACAGTTCTTTTGTCATGTATTAAACATCCTTGTATCATTTACTCATTGCAGGTGTTTTTGTTGCTCAAAAATACAATCATTCCTTCTGTGAATAAGACCGCCTCTCCACAGATCTGAACTGTAATGTAGTGTAGGGCTGGAACCTGCTCGTCTCCCTCGTGGTAGACAGGTTTAATCTATACTGTGGAACATTCTGGATAAAGCAATAATATTTCCATGGAGACAAAGATGTGGAGATGTCCTGTCTCCTCTAAGTAAGAAGGTTGATGAAAAGCTAAATTATTAAAAAAAAGTTAAATAAAATAAAAACAGCACACACTGGTTTTAGACATTTCAATTTTTACTCAAAACCAAAAATGGATAAATAATACAACAGAACTTAGACATTCAGTTTGTGGCACTGTCCCTTTAAAATTTCACACGTTTTTACAGAATTTCAACGATAATTTACTTTTACTAACAACGCAAAAAATCAAAACACTCCATGATTCTGAAAACATAGTATACTTTATCATAAATATCTCTAAAATTCAGCAAAAGCAAAAACATTTTCAGCTCTGTACAAATATGCTACAAGTACATTATATCCTCCCTTTGTGAAAAATAGCTGCAGTGTAGGAAAATGGCTTGGACACTTTGGTTTTTTGAGAAATTCAGGTCCAAAAATGACAATTTCAAACAAAAAAATCTACGAGGACGTTATGGAAATGGGTGATATGGCTTGAATTTTTACATCTTTCCAAATAAAATAAATAAATACAATTATAAATACAGGGTTAATTTAGTCTGGATAAAATATTCAACAGGCTCTTATTTTGAAAGGAAATGTTGCGCACCTTTAGAGTAATATCAGGTTTGAAATCCAAATTGTCCAAAAATATAAAAATGCTTATATAATACAGGAAAAATAAAGATTAAACTTTGGTTAGACTTTAGTTCAATACATTCAAACCAAATAAATAATAATGAGCAGTTGAGATTTCAGTTTTTGTTTTTTTGTCGAAATTAAAATGCAAAATTTGGAAATCATTTGATGGTCGAGAAAAATTGACTCCTAACATCTGGAACATTTTTGATAAGTGATAAAATCTACATTTAGACCTATTAAATATTAGAATTTGAGCAAAATGTCACACAAATTGCCCATGACTTGGTATGTCATAGTTGAAAATTACAATTCACTGCAGTGTAATTTATAAAAACAGGACACTTTTGAAAACTGATAATATTTTAAATCAGATAAATTATAGAGATTAAAAAATAAATAAATTATGAAATCTCAACTGCATTTCAATATTTTTTCTAAATGTGCGATAGAACGTCTTAAATAGTCAAAATAAAGCATCGTTTGAACTTTTTCTCCTTAGAATTTAAAAATGTATAAGTGCAAAAACAGTTAAAATGGAGGATAATATTAAGTATAATTCTCCACGGGTCACATTTCCTCATTTAGCCTAAAATTACTGTTATTACGCTGTTGGGCTGTAGACAAAAAATATAATTCCAGTTGTATTCGAGTGAGTTCCTCTGCGGTTTACATAAGCATACATGGTCCATAGGCTCGTGCGTGTTTGTGTTTGTGTTTGGGATGTAACAATGTCCAAATCTCACGGTACGACATTATCACAAACATAGACTGTGTAAAGAAGTGGACTAAGCAAGTGGGACGTCACCTATAGTGTTCAGCTCCAGTCAAATGAAGCTCATTGAGGCTGACAGTTATAGGAGTGAATTTGGAACCAGGTCAAAATAGCGAAATTAAAACATCATTATCATTTAGAGCGGGTTAATACGAATATTTGAAGAACAAAATGACGAGGCTCACTGTAGCACTTACAGAGAGAGGAGACCATTTTTCAATATAAAGTCAATTGGAGCCAGAGCCGATGGAGCCAGAAGCCTGCCCATGCTCACTTCCTGTTTGGAGCAGCATGTCCATTTATATATACAGTCTATGGAGAGTCTAACTTAACTTTTAAAATGCTTTGACAAGACTTTAGTGCTGTAATTTCTGTCATAATCCATGAAATTAAAGATTTAAAAGTGCAGTCTGTACTAACGACGAGCAAAGGATCATGGTCTATGTAGTTCCGTCTGTGGTTTTAGCTGCAGCTGCAAGAAAACAGTGCAGACTTTTGAGGATACACTCATGATTTTTGGTTATTGTTACTTCCCTTGTGTTCATATTTACGTGGGTGAGGGTCCCTTCAGTGCTGTTTTATGTGGGTCTTTTGGGTGCTAAAAGGTGATAAAAGTGTCTGTTTAGTGTAGGTAATGTAGTTGGGGGTCCCTTGGGTGCAGTCCTGGGTGCTGCCTTGATGCGGTTGGGTGTCCTTTGGCTGCAGATCACGTGGGTGGGGGTCCGTTGGTGTAGCGGAGCATGGGGTAGAAGGAGCGAGCGAAGTTGTTGGAGAGGGCACAGCTGTTGTACTGGTCCTCAGACAGAGGGACTAAACAGGCCAAGACCAGGAGGAGGAGCAGGAGCAGGTGGAGGGGGAAGGCTGCCCGGAGCACCCGCCTGAGGAAGGGCCGACGTGGGGAGGAGGCGTCTCTGTGCTGGGCCCTGGAGCACAGAGGAAATAACAGTTATACAACAATAATAGTTATATATATTTATACCACGGTCACTGAGACTTGCGGCTCTGCGGCTGTAGTCTGCCCTGCATGGAAGAACAGCAACCTAGAGTATAGGCGAGTTTCATTGTTGACAAAAGCGCCCGTTGCATGCTGGGAATTATTTTGGCGGCAAGAAACACTATTCAACATGACGGACGGAGCGAGAAAGCACGTAAAGGGTATTGATCCCGGTTATTTATCCACTCTAACGGCAGAGGACCCAAGACCATTTGACCAGAAATTGGTCATAAGCATCGACGGAGCCAAATCACCCTTTTCAACCCCGACAAAAGGCGATTCTGACCAGAAATTTGGTTTTGTCCACCAACTACCTGGACAAATATTCACTTTGGTGATATCCACAATGACTTGGTGGAAACTCCTGGGCCATTCACAGCAGAAAAGATGAAAACCTCCAAGAGTCTCCATGTGTTGTTGAACTTGTTGGAGTCCACGGTTTGTTAGGATCTTCTACGTTTGCTCTGTGGAATGTTTGAAAGTCGTTTAATTCACCGTTAGTGGTTCTTTTCACTCAGAATACGAAAAAGACATTTTCCTTCTTCCGTGCTTCTATTTGTGCATCCGATAATGCAGCAGGAATTTACCATTATGAGGGATAAATACACCAGGTTACACACTGTGTTTGACGCTACCGTGTTTCTTGCCTCCGACCAAAATATTTCCCAGCATGCAACACGGCTTTTAATAACAATGACGTCAGCTGAAACTCGCCTATAATTTGTCTTTGTTAAATCTCTTGTGACTTTTTTTAAATTTTTATTTTTTTATATTGCACTATTTTCTGTTGTTAAGAATTAACTTGCGCGTTTATGTTTAGCGCTTTTATTTTGAAGGGTTTATCTTCATCTAATTACCTTGACAACGAGAAGGGAAAAATGTTATACGGAGCAAATGTGTACATATAGTTTTTTGGTATTTTTCTATGTCTTTGTTTAGCTTCCCCTCTGAAGAGGCACAAAGGTCTGTTATTGATGTAAATATTTCTTCTGAATAACTTTGTGTCTCTAGTTTTTCTCATTGTTGATTGATGTTGTCAAGATGAATGTAAATATTAATCAAAGTTGCGTTGAGTTTTGTGAATGCGTATTTACACACTGTATTTTGTATTCCTTTTAGCTCTTACAGCTTTCCAGATTGGAGGATTTATTGCCATTAAATCTAAAAATCTCCAGTTCAAGTGTCAGTTTTCATTCAGAGGGAGATGCTACAGAAGACATTTACTTCAGCAGGTACAGGACAAAAGCCCACAGCATCATGGGAGACTCCACCATCCAGCACATGGACTTTTTACAGCTCTCCCATCAGGCAGAAGATTGCGCCATCTACAGGCCAGGACCACCAGACTATGGAACAGTTTATACCCTGATGCCGTGAGACAGATTAATTCTGTCAGAAAGCCCAGACACTAATGCACCTCAAGAAATAGCACTGACTTGGAACACACCTTAGAAAACGGGGGCTGGTGGGGGCTGTTTTTTGACATACAATAGTTTAACTATTTATTCTTATTATTATCTGTGCTGCTGTTGACCTGGACCTGAGTGCAGTATTTCGTTTCTGTGTATTTTTTATTTTTTTTATACTGAAATGACAAGTAAATTGTGATTCTGATTCTGATTCCAACAGTTTACTGCCACGTGTCAAACCACAGAAGTGGTTCGGCAACAGTTAAATCACATTTTATATCACTGCTCTGAGGCCAACACGTCACCATAGCAACTGGTAAACAAATGCTCAGCTGCTCTGAATAGAAATAAGAACTATTCATTTAAAACACAAAATTACAGATTTTCAGACATTTACAGACGGTGAATGGGCTTTTCAGATTCACAAGTGAAACATTTCAGTTTGTAATTGTGGTATAAGCACAACTTGGAGCCGTGTGTTCTGCAGTTGTAATACACTTTGCAGAGGTTCTACGGCTCTGTGCCGTGCATTAAAACTGTAAAACACACAGGTCCTTATTGGACCAACCCTAAAAGTAGATATAATACGAATAATTGTAACTTCAGTGTTTCATTTACCTCCTGATGCCTGGTTGTTCCTCTGCAGCTTGAAGTCTGGGTCCCTCCTGAAAAAAAAAAAGATTATTAATATGAGTTATAAAATATATCTAATACTGTTAAGGCAATTTAATTCTGTCACTTTTTAGTTATACATTTCACTACTCTGTTTAGAGCCTCCTTTTGTTAATTATTGTAAATATTCTCCTTTTGTTAGTTTCACCTTTTACATTCCTTTTAAATAAATTACAACTTTAGTTTTACTATTTTACATCTTGGTTCTTTTGTTACTTCCTCTGTCCCTAGCAGAGCTGGGTCGTAACTATACTTTCCTTTAATATTTACTATAAGTTACATATGGACACATTTTAAGATGGAAAGAGAATAAAAAGTTTAGTTTAGTTGAATGTAAGATGTATTTGTTGTCTGCTCTGTACCTTGTGTGAGCTCACAGGAGTGGAGTGGGACAGTGGTTCTGTGTTGTCCACTTCAGATCCCAACAGCCTGGACCTCTCCTGAAAAGACAAGCAAATGTGAGTTTGAGTTTTGATATGAACATGTTGTAAGCGGTCATCCAGGATTCATAGAAACATGGTTGCATACATAGTCTTTGTTTTAACAGTGAGTACTGTGGAGTCGTACCAGTCTAGTGTTGAGTGTGTTGGTGTCATTCTGCACTTGTCTCAGCAGAAGTCTGAGTTTGTTGTGGATCACATGGACCTTCTCTCTGGCCTCCAGACCCTCCTCAGAGCTCAGGTCCACCAGGAGCTCACAGGACAAAGCCTGAAGAGAAGAGACCTGCTCCTCACGACTACGGAGCTCCTCCTGAAGAGACTAGAGGGAGAGAAAGGAGGGAAGGTCATTTAATCCTATTACAGAAAGACGTTAAGATGATATGGTGCAAAATTAATTATATCTGTGCACTATCCTTGTTATGAATAAATATATTAAAATGACCTAAATAGTGACATTTCTGAGTAACTGAATAAATACATTATTTAAGGGCTGTTCATTTTCTTTTTCTCTGAACATTGCACTATGTTATATCATAACAAATAAAAGCCTTTGTTAAGCTCCGCCCCCTCTCACCTGGAGCGTGTCCCTGTGCTGGACGAGCTGGTCTCTGGACACACTCTGGTCTCTGAGGTTCACAGAGTACAGTCGGCCCTCACACTGAGACAGCCACAGCAGCAGAGAGTGAAGAGACTCATGGAACTCCTGAAGAGAGAGGAAGAAAGAGATGAAACACAGGGAGGGCATCTGACACAGACACAGGAGGACGGGAGGACGGGAGGGCATCTGACACAGACACAGGAGGACGGGAGGGCATCTGACACAGACACAGGAGGACGGGAGGACATCTGACACAGACACAGGACGACATCTGACACAGACACAGGAGGACGGGAGGGCATCTGACACAGACACAGGAGGACGGGAGGGCATCTGACACAGACACAGGAGGACGGGAGGGCATCTGACACAGACACAGGAGGACGGGAGGACATCTGACACAGACACAGGAGGACGGGAGGACATCTGACACAGACACAGGAGGACGGGAGGGCATCTGACACACACCTGGCACTTGCAGAGGCCCTGGTGCAGGCGGAGCTCCCAGCCCTGCAGAGAGGAGCAGGCCTGGGCCCAGCTGTGGTTGGCCGAGTCCACTGCCTCCTGGATCTCCTGCAGGTTCTGGAGCTCCAGGGCCTCAGAGGAAGAGGAGCAGGAGGAAGTGTGGAGCAGCTGCCGAGCGCCCAGGTTCACAGAGATCATGAGACATTTGTAACTGCAGAACAGCCTCTGCATCTCCTGCACACACAGAGGAGAGGAGAGGGGAGGTTAGAATCATTAACTGAAATCTCCTGATACTTCACATCAGCAACAGTTTAAAGCACACGTTCGGGATCTGTTATTAATGTCACTTAAACATGTTTTAATCCCATTTGCTTTGGATTCTCATGTTTACAGTAATGCTTATGTTTGTCTCAGCTTCACTTCTCTGCTCAGTGGTTTGCACACCATCTATTGGCCGCCGAGGGAAACCCAAACTGTGACCGGCATGTTAATATAAGCACGCACTGTAATGAGTGTGAAAAGCTCCGAATGAGTTTGACATTGATTTATGGATTTAAAAGCAACAAAGGAGAAGGCTCGACTTCTACCAACAAAAATTGAAACAAAGTGATTTCTGAGGCTCTGAGAAGATGGCCTCATTAACAGGGTTATTATAAGTCAAGGTATGTTTCTGAAGAGGAAACAATGTCTTTAAAAACTCCACGTAGACCCCACACAATCTGGAAATCAAAACCTTCTGTGAGGGTATAACACTTTCCACCCTGCAGACACCCTGGCATCAGAGTCTGGAGAGTGTCGCTGGAGGATGAGCCTCTAGTGCCTGTTGAGTTTAAAGTCTGTTGTGTTGTTTTCTTTCACATGTACCTTGAGTTTGGAGATGTTGTCCTGCAGGTCTCTGAGGCTGGAGCAGGGACAGAGCTGTTGGAGTTGGTCCAGCTCCGGTAACACTCGGCCCAACCAGGAAGTGACATCACAGAGGTCAGAGGTCAGCTTGTGCCACTGCTGCGGATCCTGTGAGACGTCCGCGTGGTGAGACTGAGCCTGAAGCAGCTCCCAGCGCTCGATCACTCCTGAGGGAAAGACAAAAGGCTGAAAACACATGCAGCTGTATTTATATCTGCAAACACACATTATATACTCTACTTTGAGTTATTGGACAGACTGAAGCATGAAACTAGGGTATGATGAGTGTAGAGAGACATTCAGTAAATTGTCCAGGCAGGGAATCATTCTCACATCTCTGTGGTTGGAACAGAGCCTATAGTGAGCCTAAAGCTACATAAACACATGGCCAATTTACCAAAGCAGAGGTCAGTGTCAAACTATGACCCAACAGCCTAAGCACCACAGCTATTATACAGGACCAATAGGCAGTGGTGTAGTGAGCGTGGTACGAGGGGTATGCCGTCCACCCTCTTCTCCCCACGTGAGATATAAAAAAATAAAATAGCTACATCTTAAATGTACAGACTCAGGACGTCTGCACTACTGTCCTACGGTGACATGAGGGACCAGGACTGAACCAGGACTGAACCAGGACTAAATCAGTTCTAAATCAGGACTAAACCAGGGCTGAACCAGGACTAAACATTGGGGCAGACCTGGATGTGCAGAGCTCCGTGCCCCACGGGGTTAAGTGCAGCTGTTGCCTGATTGCACTTTGCAGACACCCTGCTCCATGGTTCTCCAGGGTTCTCTCTCTTGCTCTCAAGTCCAAGATTAGTCCTGGTTTAGTCCTGGTTCATATGTTGTAGTCTGTGATTTATGTTCTGTAGGTGATTATGAATGTTAATATTAATAACATGATTCTGCATCTTTCTGATTAACAAATATCAAACATTACACATTTTTTCTGGGCTGGCTCCTTTATGTTTGTGCTGGACCTAAGTACATGCTTAGAAAGTGGGTTTTCCAAGTGGGTTCATTAGAATGCTCCACAAAATGACTATATCTCATGTACTGTATATCTTCCTATTATTTAACTCGTGTTTTATTGCTTTAAATCATGCATTTTTACTGTAAGTTGAATTGTCCCTCCACAGATCCAGTAATTCAGGCCAACACTGTAAATAAGATTTAGAGTTCTTAGTATTTTGGTAGTGTAACATGCTTGCATCCATGGGTTGATACCATACTGCGGAACATTCCAGTCTCCATGGTGACAACAATGCAGAATACAGAAAATAGTATATTAACTGTGCATCTTTAAGTCTTCAAATGTAAAATAATAAAACTAAAGGGTTTGGAAATGGTTTAAAAAGTCCAAATGTTACATAATACTAAAGCTCTCTTCCCCTCAACCTCACAAACTCAGACTGAATAAACACCTTCAAAAAACATCTCAAAACTCACAGTCTAAAACCCCACACATGACCGCTCCTCACTGCTTGTTTGGTTTTGTCCTGCCCTTGTTTTTATGTTACTTTATTGTGAAACGTGTTTGAGTTACTGTGAAAAGCTCTGAATAAAACCCGTACCTGTGTTGTGGTGCCTGTCTGTGCTGCTCTGAGTGAGTCCGCTGTCACTGAGCTCCTCTTCGTCGTTCAGGATCAGTTTGACCTGGTTCACTCGGTCGATGTTGCCGCTGCATTCAGACATCAGCTTCACCTGGACAACAAAAAAATCAAACATTAAACTTGTATGACATTTTTCAGAACAGGTGTGGGGAGGTCTTATCTACAGGCTTAGCAGTTTATACAAAGAATAAAAAGGAAGAGACACTGAGAGGTTTAGATCTTGAAGAGGATTTGAATTTATAACTTGTCCTTACATATCCGTGTTGTTGCTGGTAGGGGGCGCCGTTGTGGTGAGATGGGTGCAGGCATTGCAGCATCTGATGTTTCAGAGACTCGTCCTGGAGCCAGCTCTGTCGTTCATTTATGGACTTCACTAAAAACACAAGAAAATCAAACATTAAACTAAGAATTGTATTGTTTAAATGACACGTTTGAAATGAGGAGTAATGAAGTCCGTCCAAGCAGTGTTCTCCATCTGCTGTGACATGCATGACAGAAAATGTGGTCAAAACGTGCAAAATAAAACACTAAATTCAAGGCAACTTCGTGCAAAAATGGGGCAGTCTCATCACAAATCACACTGGATGTTTTTGTGTACACAGTATAGAGTGATTTTAAATGAGATTAAAGTACATATGACAGGTTAAACTACTATTTCTTACATCATTATAACTTTGTTTAAGTGTTTGTCATTATAACTAAGACTTTACTAAAAATCTGGCCAAATTTGACCTAGTTTTTAAATTTCATGTGAAGTTTATAATTCGTCTTCCTGGTTGGACATGGGCAGCAGATATCATAACAGTTACCTAGCAACCATAACGTAAACAAAGGCCAAAACTAGTCTAAATTACAATAATTATGATTAGACTGATAAAAAGACACAACTACACTTTTATTTAGTTATATGAAGGTTTACAGTGTCATAAAAATGCCTTCCTTGTGCCTAGATTGTCTCTGCATTTTGGATTCAGTTTGAAAACTCCAAAATTTTTGTACTTTTCAACTTTTTTCCATAAACTGCCACTTAACTGATATAAAACTATGAACTATCTATTTAACACAGGTACTTTCCCACCAAACCAACTTAATAATAATAATAATGCACCAGTTTATACAGCGCTTTTCTGGACACTCAAAGACGCTTTACAGATCATTATTCATTCACTCCACACTCGGTGGTGGTGAGATACTACTGTAGCCACGGCTGCCCTGGGGCAAACTGACAGAAGTGAGGCTGCCAATCTGCACCATCAGCCCCTCCGACCATCACTTTCATACTAGGCAATGTGGGTCAAGAGTCTTGCCTAAGGACACAAGAACAGTTGGAGGACACATGCTACAGGTCTCCATGAACAGCTGATAGTCAAAATCAGTTAAATACAATCAATCCATGAACCTGTCCAGGTCACTGGTGCTAGTGGCGAGACACTTCACCCTCACTGCCTAATATGAAAGTGGTGTGTGTGTGAGTGATGGTGGTGGTCGGAGGGACTGTTGGCGCCGATTGGCATGGCAGCCGCGCCTCTGTCAGTCTGCCCCAGGGCAGCTGTGGCTACAACAGTAGTTTACCATCACCACGTATAGAGTGAATGAGTAATATGCTGAATGTAATGCTCTGTAAAGCATCTTTGTGACAAAAATGTCTGTGAAAAGGGCTATATAAATAAAGATTCACTTAATTACAGTTTTTGTGTCTGGTGCCTGGTGTGACACCTGATTTTTCCAGTGGTATAAGTGGTATAAGTACTAACCAGACCTGACCCTACTTATAGAATCAGGCTTTGACAAGGAGGTAAAAGCATGAAATCCTGTCATATGAACTTTAAGTACTCAGCTACAGTTGTCATGGTAACACTGTTATTAAACTTATAAGAAATAATGGTACACAAGCACATGAAAAAGGTGAAAAAACAGTGCAGTTGGTCTGGACTGTGTATGATCAGATGAGTGGTGTGATGTTTTGGTGAAGGTAAAGATGCACTATGTAACTTTTCAGGTGCAGGTATTGCTTTGTGTAGAATGTTCCGCAGTACAACATTAAGCTTCTATAACCACCAGGCTAATTGACTATTTAACTTTTAGTAAGAAAGTAATTAAAAACAGCTGTAATTAAATATATGGGAGGTAGAGTATCTTAATGCCATACTGTGTAACTTACAGGCAAAGCAACATCATTTCCATGGAGACAAAGTCTTAGCAAATCAACACCAGAAAAGTGACACAGTGCAGCTTTAAGCCCAAACACATGCAGGTATTAGCGATGTGTTCAGGTGCGTCTGGTTCACATGAGCGTTCACAGCAGATCCATGCAGCAGTTTTACCCTGTGCTGCGTTCACTGCCCTCACTGTGGCTCTGTAAAACGCCTCAGAGCTCTCCGTCACCTGAAAATCTGCAAGGAGGCAAGCGCAGGTTAATGGAACCACGACGGATTTATATATTTCACGCGGTATTTTACGATATTTCATTTTATTTTAAAGGTGCGTGGTGTAACTTTTCTGGTGGAGGGTTAGTACATCAAACGCTTTTCTCCGTGGAGATGTTATTAGTTTGTCTGGATTATAAGACGCACTGTCATTAAATGGTCTATTTTTGAACTTTTTTCACAAATAAACAACAGTGTGATGGGTGAGTGGTTTTGTTTGGTGCGTTCACAGTGACTCAGTTGTTCAGTTGTGTCTAGAAGTGGCACATTGCACTCGCTTTTTCGGTTCGTTCCTCCGTTCCGTTCCTCGTCGGCGTGGAGTGATGAGTGTGTCTGTGGGTGTGTTTGGCTGTGTGGTCGCTGTCTGCTCCGTGTGTGTTTGTGTGTTCTGCGGGTGGTGCGGCTTTGTAGTTTACTGAAGTCGTGCTGGGACACCTGAGGGGATTCGTGTATAGGGCGCTCTGGATTGTGGGGCGCGCAGTCATTTTTTGACAGGGTTGGAGGCTTAAGAGCGTGTTTAATAGCCCGGAAAATACGGTAAACTTAACTAAACTAAGAAACAATTTTTTTTTAACACAAAGGCACTGTACAGTTTACAGTTGTCCAGAATTACATTTGCCTCATGCATTTAGACCATTCTAATTATTAACCATGATGAGTTTATAAGAGCTTTTCACAACTCTCAGAGACCAGAGCAGAGTTTGCCTAACAACAACTAGCATGCTAACAGCAGTACTTCCTGGTTGGTGAATTATAAGACGCTTTTTAATTTCATGCAGACAGCACACAAGAGCTGCTTATATAAAACATCTGTACAGGGGCAAGACAAAATTCGACTCAAATGATCCAAATGATTCTAGTGAGGGTGTATGCAGTTTAAAAACACAATGGAGCACTTCCTGTTTTATGTCATGACATCACAAAGCGGAACTGTGTTTTCAGTTTGAGAGATGAACTCAGCCTAAACGTGCAGGTTTGTGTGTTAAATGTGTGTGAATGAAACAAACAACATTCTAACATCAGAATATAACCTAATATTGGCCCTTAAACCAATGTAAAAGTGTGATAAAGGAATAATGAGAAAAAAAAAAACAAAATCATGAAAACCTGCCTCATGTACTTTAAATCGTGTGTACCTGACAGAGCGCTGAAGAAAGTGGCGTCGTCATCGTCCTCGTGAGAAGAGGAGCCGCCCACGTCCACGGTGTGATCCCACTCCAGAGGGATGGAGTCCACGCTCACCGGAGTCTCCCGCCCTGAACGCTCCAGGGGCGGGGCTAAGAGGTGACACTGAGGCCCCACCCCCTCCAGCGGCGGCACCACCCCCCCATCTCTCTTCTTCCTCCTCCTCCTCTTCGTCTCGGTCCAGGACAGGCCACGGTTCAGGTCTGGAGACGCGTCCAAGTCTGAGTCTGAGAGCTCGTCCAGGATCTGCAACATATTATGAGTTTTAATTTTTGTCACATTATTATTTTACATTTTGTTCATTATAAAACACATAAAAATAGAACAGAATCCATTGATTTCTTGTTAAAAACAATGGTGCTGATTTATGTCACTATAAACATGTGGTGCATGGTAGTGACAAATGGCTTTTATAAACATTTTTTTTTCCATTTGTGCCATGTAACAAACAGGCTGGTTTGTTACAAATAAGTCCAATCAGCACCTTCACTACGGAAGCTGAGAGGGGTCACAACAAACACAAACGCCGCAACAAATACAAATGCGACAACACAACAAAAAGCCACAACGGAAATGACTGCGGGATTCTATTTTAGTGCAAACGCCACAACGAATACAAACGCCACAACACAAACGCAAATGCCACAACACATCAAAAAGCGTGAAAAGTAAAGGAACGAAGAAGGAAAGAAATTTATTGTTTTATTATTATTCGTTTCACATTGTAGTTCTTCTTCTTCACTTGCCGCTTGATCGGTCCGTCGAAAAATAGAGTCCTGCGGTCACTTCTGTTGTGGCTTTTTAATGTGTTGCGACATTTGCGTTTGTGTTTGTGTTGAGTTTGCATTAAAATAGTCCCGCGGTCATTTCCGTTGTGGCTTTTTTTGGTTTGTTGTGGCATTTGTATTTGTTGCGGTGTTTGTGTTGGTTGTGACCCCTCTCGGCTTCCGTACTTCACCCTTCACTAGGACACTTTAAAACACTGCACTTTGACAGCACACAGCACTTCCAACATATTTGCACATATGATAAAAGAAATTGTACACAATTGGTTTTAAAAATTATTTATTGTCCTTCCTTTTAACACTTTTTAATCCTGAGGCACAGTAGCACTTTACTTGAAAACTGCTGGTCCCTGGAGGGAAAGGAGACTATTAGCTAGTGATGTTACGAGATGTGCCGAGGCTTTGAAGCGCGTGTCGAGTAACGAAGGGGGTGTTTCTGCGAAGCGCGTATCGAGGCTTGCTTCATTTGGGGGAGGAACCAAAAGTGATGATGTCTGAAGCCTCGCTGCTCGCCTCTGCCACGTGGTTCAGATTTTGCCACGAGCTCTTACAGCGATATAGACCCTCGGGCTCCATCCAAAATGTGGGTGTTTGAAGGAGAGCTGCGGTCAGTTGAGAGTTTGGAGAGTTTGGAGAGTTTGGATACTAGAGTTTGGATAGAGTTTATAGTTTCTCCAAGGCCAGAGAGGTTGTGTCAAAAAAAAAAAAGAAAACGTGTAAAAACAAAAACTGTTGAGAGACTCTTGTTTCTGAATAAAAATAAATACCAGTTTCTCCTGTCCTGTACATCATTGTCCAAGTTCTACAAGCATAATCTGTGCTCTTTTCCTAGTTCCACAAGCACTTTCACTGTCCTCTGCCTGATTACACCTCTGCCATTTTCAGAAAAACAGCTTCACCTGCCGTATTATGATATGATCATTTTGGGAAAATTTACACACACACAATCATACAAAATGTATTATACACATATGTGCTCATCAGTGTTGGGGAGTAACAGATTACATGTACCAGAGTTATGTAATACAGAGTACAAATTATGAAGTAACTGTATTTAGTTACAGTTACTGTTTCAGTGAGTAGTAATTGGATTACAGTTACTTTGTTGAAATAAACGGATTACACGGCAATATTTTCCAGTTTTTTTCGGTAATTCCACTCATTGCCAGAAACTAAACCAGGTCTAAACTAGATCTAAACCAGGACTAAACCAGGACTAAACCAGGACTAAACCAGGACTAAAACCAGGTCTAAACTGGGACTAAACCAGGTCTAAACCAGGTCTAAAACCAGGTCTAAAACCAGGTCTAAAACTAGATATAATCTAGATCTAAACTAGATCTAAACCAGGTCTAAAACCAGGACTAAACCGGAACTAAACTGGGACTAAACCAGGTGTAAAACAGGATTTAACATATTTTTATTTTCTTTCAGCAGACAAAACATCTTATGTTACGATATCCTTGTCTTTGCTTCTCTACAGCAAATCAAGTAATCCAAAGTATTCAGATTACATTACTCACCTAAAGTAATTTAATGGATTATGTTACAAACTACATTTTGGGATATGTAATCTGTAATCTGTAGGGGCATACATTTTAAAGGTGACCTTCCCAACACTGTCTGTCAGATAAGTGTGTGTGTTGGTGATACTGACCGGTCTCCTGTGCACGAGCCTGTGGTGGAATCGAGCCACTCTCCCAAACACCTCCTGACAGTACGAGTGCATCTCCTCCAGCTCCTCCTCCATCAGCGCTGCGTCGTCAGGGGAGCTCTTCTGGATCAGAGTCTCTCCAAACACGATGAGGGCGTCGATCGCATTTGTGTTCAGCATGATCTCCTGCTGGAACACCTGCACAAGACAGCAGAGTCATGTAAAGAAAAGGAGCACAGTGGAAATATAAGTTAAGATACTGGTTACATCAGGCCGCAGAAAGAGTCAGGTAAATATAATATAAAGCTTCTTACGTTGAGTTGTTTCATCTTTTCCTGCACGTCGCTCTCGGAAAAATGCTCCACGTTGGTCAGCTGCAGGTCCATCTCCGTCAGCCAAACCAGGATGCCCTCCCGTGTGCCCTCGAACTCCTCCCTCTGAGAAGTAAAGTGCTGCACAGACAAACAAAGATAAAGAACTGTTAAAATAATGTTCACAGACCTAGAGGTTATCTAAAAACACACAACCTTTCAACACATATGTTTCATTATTTTAGAATTGTTCAATGCGAAGGGCACTGCTCTTTGCTGATTAGTCATGATTCATAGAACTATGGTTACATTAGTAACTTCTGAATGAGGACAGCGAAGGAGAAATTCAATTCTGTCAACTGGACAAAAGTTGTTTGATTGAATATGTTTGAGAGAATGAGAACTTCGCACATCAGTTACTTGAGACAGGTGCGTTGGAGGAGAGGGAGCAGCCCAAGAACATGGAGAAAAATCCCGCACACTGTATTACTTGTGGGCTTTATATGGGCTACATTTTAAGATCCATTGTATATATATATATATAGATGCGTATATGGCACGATAGCATTATTTTATAGTTGGGTGAAAATATACTATGTCTATATGTATCCAGATATTCTTCTTATTTTTCTATTATTGTTATATGATTTTTGTACTTTCATTAATATTTCATTATTATTATTAGTATCATTATTATTACACTATATGTTGATTGTCTTTGTTCTGTGAATTATGGTGTTTGGGTGCACTGTTTCTTTATGACCTGTCACCCTTGGGTGCTTGCCACACCCTATTTAAGACAGGCCACCTGAGCTCTCATTCTGTTTGCCTGACGAAGGCCTAGTGCCGAAACGTTGCACGGTTTGTCCTAATAAATCTCACAATTTGCAAGTAAGACGGTGTGTGGGATTTTTCCTCCATGATCGAATACATTTCACAGCTCATCCAAACTGCGTCTGAAGTTCTGAAGAGACACTAAAAGTATTTGATCAATAAACTTTGTCCAGTTGACAGAATTAGGTATGGATCCAACCTGGACTTTGCAGTGAGCAACTGTTGTTTAGTTTTATACATGTATATTATGATTTAATAAATGGAGTATATTCTCTGTGTTGATGGAAGCTGCTGTGTCAGAGCAGCTGTGTCCAGATGTGCACATTCACTCATCCATAACTGATAAACCTCACTGTATATTCTCACATAAACCTCTGAGGTCATCGGGGTCGATAAACCAGATCTACCAATCACAAGTCTCCTCTCTGACATCAGCCAATCACAGGCCTCCTCTATGAGCTGGGCCAATCACAGCTCTGCTCTCATTAAGCCTGGTTTTATATAGAAAAAGTCCATCTGCTCAGAGACAAATGTGACCCACATATAAAGGATTAAGAGCTCTGGAGGCATCAAGTCTTAAATGTAATGTGTTAAATGTTAAGGAATAAAGCCAAGAAAAAGAAATATTAAATTTAGATCCACTAAATCTGACCGTTATCTGATTTCTGGAGTTATCAGACTATGAAAACCATCTGATGTGAGGAATCTGATTTCTTTCTGATTGTTCAAACCTGTTCACACCACAACTTTTACTCAAGTAAGAGTACTGTCACAAGTAAAGCAAAGTAAAAAGCACTGTTTGTTTCCCATATGATTCCAGTCTTAAAGTGCACTGACCTTTAACCTCCTGATGATGGCGTAGACTCTCTTCTGCAGTCTGTCCCAGCGCTGGTTCCCCTCCTGCACCATCAGCTTGAGCCTGCAGGCGGCGTCGGTGCGCTGCTCCCGGGCCAAACGCCGGTACTGTTTATTGACCAGCTCCAACTGGGTCAAACGCTCGTGCACCTGCCTCTGAAACGCCTGGGAAATAAACACAAGGGGACATAAGACACAGGAGAGTGAAATGCCTGGGAAATAAGACACAAGAGGATATAAAGGACGCCACACACTACAGGATTTTTCAGTTTTAAAGGATTTTTAAATGTACGACAAAAAGGACACGCCACAGACACGAGGAGAATCTTATGAGACTTAAAATCTCTGATCGCAAAGACTGCAGCGGATTCACAGTGCAGTTTTGTGGACTGGATGTCAGTATTTGTGGAGGACAATTTCTATGAATAATGTGGATGAGACGCTGCAGTTTAAATTTACCACTTTACGAGAGATGAGGAATAAAGTCTTGTCATTATTTTCGCCATTTCCTGAGTTTGTATTTTGCATCTCTGTGTCCGTCACTTTTCTTCTGCCCCTGACGCTGCTCTGTTTTATTGGTTGTTACTGTAGTGATGCTGATGTTTGGTGATTACAATCTGACACTGACACACAAAAGAAGCGCAGTGGCTTCAAAATTGCACACAAAGACACAAAGTCAGGTCACACCTCCCCGAACCCTCCCCCCAAAATCAGGTAAATCCTCCTGTAGTGTGTGGCAGAGAGAAGTTAACACAACTTCTTGCAAGACCAAATTGCCACAAGACTGTGCACACAAAAGAGAAATAATCCTGTGATGTTTTATTGTGTGTGTGTGTTTGTTTACATTTTGGCTGCGTTCAGACTGCAGCCTGAAGTGACCCAAATCCGATTTTTTGGCTTCTATGTGACCTGTATCTGATCTTTTAATGACAGTCTGAACAACACAGATCCGAATTTTTCAAATGTGACCCAGGACACTTGGATATGTGCTCCTGAATCCGATACATATCTGATCTTTTGACATGCGACTTCAGTGTGAACGGCCAAAGCGCATCCATCCGACCTATACGTCACTAACAAGCGACAAACGTCACAATTCCGCGCTGAAGCAGGCGGAACCCGGAACTGTAAACTCGCCAGGTGCTCAATGCTCGCGACCATATTTGGACAACTTCCGTAAACACAGAGCACGCTCGCTGCGTTGACGCATGGGGTTGACGTCATCGTGTCTCCAGTGCACATGCGGGACACTTTCGGGCCGTTTACCGTTCACACTGAAGTCACAGACAAGTCGCATTTCATTGGAAATGTGAACGACCTCGCAAAACATCGGATTTCACAAAAAAAATCGGACTTGAGCGTTAAGCCCTGCAGTCTGAACGTAGCCTAAGATTGGACAAAATTGGGTTAAGTACTGGTGAGTTACATTTTTTGAGAAGTGGTCATTTCAAAAAGTAGTGCTACAATCACAGCAAAATATTAAATAAAGTAAATAAAAAATGCTGAGACCAAAATTGTGAACTCAACTCAACAACTACAGTCTAACTCTCATTTTGTCTAGTTCTCGTGGACCCAGTCTTGTGTGTTGCGTCTCATTTTATGGAAACTGTGTCTCGTTCCACCTCTAGGAATAGTTAAAGGTGCATTGTGTAACTTTTCTGGTGGAGGCTCTGTCAAATGCTTTTTTTCATTGAGACGTTATTGCTTTGTCTGGAATGTTTCACAGTATGGCATTTAACCTTTCTATCTCCATGGAGACCAAACCAGATGAAGTTACAGGTCAGATCTGTGGAGAGGCGACCCCACTCACAGTCAGAATGTCTGTTTTTGTAAGTATTTTTGAGCTGTAAAACCATCTGTAATTGAATAAATGTGAAGCAGATCTGTTTAATGTCACACTGTGGAACATTCCAGGCAGAGCAATGACATCTCCACAGACACAAGCAGGTGAAGGACCCCAACCAAAATAGATACATACACAGTGAACCTTTAAAATGGATCAACAAATAAATAAGACATATTTTTGTGTGATTAATAAAAACAAAAACAACAACATGCATTTGTTATTTAAAGATGCACTCTGTATTTTCTTCTGCTGGAGGATGAGCCGCCACCTGTTTGTTTCCATGGTGATGTTATTGCTTTGCCTAAATTGCTCCACAACATATATGTCCACAGAGACCAGGCCAAGTCACAGGTCAGATCTGTGGAGAGTTGACCCCACTCACAATCAGAACACATGTTTTTCACTGTAGCAATAAAAACACAACACTTTTAATTAAACAAACGCAGAACAGATCAGTTTAGTGCAATACTGAGGAACATTTCAGACAAAGCAATAACATCTCCATGGAGACAATCTGGTCACAACAGTTACATAGTGCTGTTTTAAAAGACTGTCTTCTTGCCTATAATCATAAATCAGTAAATAATAAATAAAGAAGTCGAGCTGTTTAATGTCATAATGTGAAATTTTCCATATCCACAGAATGAAGCGGGTGACGGATGCACCACTGGAAAAGTTACACAATGCACCTTTAAGGCAATAGTGTAAGATTTTGATCATCTATTTTCAGTTTGCCTGTATTTCCTCTTTTGCAAATGACTCATGAATATTCTGTGTGTGTGTCAGTGAGAGCCCAGTCAGCGCTGCTCAGAACTGGGTCAGATACAGTGAGGGTCAGGGGCTGGTCTCTGGATGAAGCAGATTATTCTCCTGTATAATCTGTAATCCAGCCCCCCCCACACACACACACACATACACACACACACACATACATATATCCGTTTGTACATTTCACCTCAAACTTCTTGAGCTCCTCCTTGGCGCAGGTGTACAGGACGTTCTCAGACTCGGGGTTTGCTGCGGTGAGTTCTGCAGATTTGAGCCAGTCCTCGAACCGAGAATAATCATCCAAGAATTTACACCACAGTCTCCAGGTCTCCTCGATCCTAAAACACAAAGTTAGACAGTAATTATTACATATTCTAAACAAAAATCCACTGTCAGTTTACGAGTTGGACTGGAGAAACGCTCAGATTTTGATTTATAGACTTAAAAAACAGCACAGGAGATCTCAGGACTTTTACCTGTGTCGTAACAATCTTGGGAAATAAAAAAAACCCTCATTCTTCTCTCCATAGAAACACCGCCCTCGTCTGTCTGACACTGTAGCGCCCCCTGCTTGTAGTTTGGCCTAACTCATCTGTAGCGCCCCCTGCTGGTTAGACCCTGTCCTCACCTCATCCTCCTCTCCATAGACATGGCGCAGATGTTTCTCCACCTCTGGTCCAGGCTGGAGGTGGTCTGCTGAAACGAGTCGCTCTCAGAGTCACTGGAGCAGGCGTCCGAGTCGTGAAGTAAAACATCACAGAGCGTCAGGACCGAGGCCACGCTGTCTGTGTGCTGGTCTATGTCCCGCTGGAGATCCTACATGAACACAGGAAATCAAATAGGAAATAAAAACAATAATGTGCCAATGTACATAATGACAGTAAAAGTGAAAAAAATGCATAACCCACTCAGATGCCCAAAAGCATTTTTAATTTTAAAATAAAATTTCGGCATCTGGAAATACGCCCACTTCTGGATTCACCAACGTAAGACTCTTGCTCCTCATGGACTTAATGTGAACTGTGACCTAAGATGCTTTTTTGATATGGTCAAACTCTGTAACAGTTTTTTCTTGTTGGGGCTGATCTCATTGGGTGAACTCACTTTGCGACCCCCTGTTCGTTGGACGGGGATGTGAGCACCTTGGGCTGGCAACTGTTTTGTATACTGTGGTCTAAAGCCAAAAAAAAAAAAAAAAAGCTCTGAGCTCTGATCATGTTTACGACACAAACCAGGAAGACGTTTGGAAATTTGTGATTACAACTTTCCAGTAACAAGTCTGACAAAATCTAAGAAAAATTAGAAAATGTTTTCTTCATCTCCGTGTCATTGTAGTGTTCCGTTATGTTCAACTCATCAACAATTCCAACCAGACCTCAGTTTTCATCATTTCCCCTGACACACAACTGCGAGTGCACTGGTACATGTGATTAGAAGAGATGAGATGATTCCAAACAGCACATACGTCTGCAGGCTTCATTTTACCTCTGATCACATATGGGCCCGGTCAAGCAGAAGTAAACAACAAGGCCAAAAATTCAAGTTCAATGCATCTGATATAAAAATGTATTGAACAGATACATATGTACTCTAGTTTATGAAACTGTTGACCTTTTTTCTGTACCATTTTTGGTTCTAAAGTTCCATATGTTTTAAACAGACCATGTATGAAACATGGAACAAAAATTATTTCCCAAATTTCAAAGACCCAAAAATCATGTCAATAAATGGATGTATTTCATCATATCTTGTGTTATTCCATCTTTGAACTGTTGATGAAGGGACATGATTTTTCAAAAAAAAAAAAGTATTTAAAATGATAAAAATTTGCTTGGAAGGACTGACATATTTTATAGAAATAGTTTCCTTTCATTTTGAAGTAATATTAAAGTATTCAGAAGAAAAAAAGCGACAAATGATGTAAAATCATGCACCTTCTACTTGTTTGCACAATTTTCCCTCTGTTACTTTTTCCCTCCGTTACCATGACCTTTCTTAATAAAAAATCTCATGAGTCAAAAAAAAAGAGGTTTTTCAACCTAATCTTGTACCATATGGTAGAAAACTATATGAAGCAAATATTCAAACCAGTTTGTTAAGGATATGGAAGTGAGAACCAAGAGTTATCACTGTTTGGATTTATTGCCCAAAAAGTGCTGCATATTTCATTCCCTCCGTTACCGACATGAGTTTTTAAATTTTTTGTCAACAACTTGAAAGAATATCACAGGTCACTGCTCCTTGCATTTGCACGTTTGTGTGTTTTGTGTTTGACTTGAGTGTACGTAACTCTGTCACCCTGCAGGTCTTGGAAGAACACAAGAAAACAATGTTAACAATTAACAATTAAAAGAATACACAAGCTTAATGTATTTCTCATCTAATTTCTGATGGAGAATGGTCTGTTACCTGATTGTCTCCAAGGATGTTATTGCACAAAATATTCCACAGTATGGCATTAAACTTTCTCCATGGAGACAGTTACAGGTCAGATCAGTGGAAAGGCAAGCCCACTCACACTAAGAACGCATATTTTTGGTAATTTTAAGCGATAAAAACACCTGTAATTGAAGAAATGCAAAACAGATTTACTGTCAAACAAGTTTAATGCCATACTGAGGAATATTTTAAGCAAAGCAACGATATCTCCATTCCTGGTCAGCCTAACTTGTCACTATTTATTTTCTCTCCCATTACTTTGTCAGATGTGGTTTGCTTTTGAGGGCTTTTATTTTGGCGGGCTCCTCTTCCTCCTCCTTCAGTCTGGTCCGAGAGCCTCTTGGAAATTTAGACGCTGAAGATTTTTACAGATATTTTTTCCTCTTTGTCGTGGGTCTGCTGCTGTCTGTCACCTGTCTCCTCCTCCATCTCCTCCTCCATCGCCAAAAAACAACTCCGATTTTGATTTTTTTTTTTTTTATGCGAGATTTCCTCATGTCTAAAATGTGACAGAGACGACGCTGGTTTGAGCTGCAGATCAGAGCAGCCTGAACTTTTAGACGATTTTAACTGTTTTTTATTTCAGTAATTGTTTTTTTTTTTTTTTTGGTGCAGAAATGTGGTACAAGAGTTGACTTTTTATATTGGACAGTTTGGAGTGATAGAAATTAGGACTAAACCAGAACTAAACCAGGACTAAACCAGGACTAAAGAAGGACTAAAGCAGGACTAAAGCAGGACTAAAGAAGGACTAAACCAGGACTAAACCAGGACTAAACCAGGACTAAAGCAGGACTAAAGCAGGACTAAACCAGGACTAAACCAGGACTAAAGCAGGACTAAACCAGGACTAAAGCAGGACTAAACCAGGTCTAAACCAGGACTAAAAGGACTAAAACCAGGACTAAAGCAGGACTAAACCAGGACTAAACCAGGACTAAAGCAGGACTAAACCAGGTCTAAACCAGGACTAAAGCAGGACTAAACCAGGACTAAAGCAGGACTAAACCAGGACTAAACCAGGACTAAAGCAGGACTAAAGCAGGACTAAACCAGGACTAAAACAGGACTAAAACAGGACTAAACCAGAACTAAACCAGAACTAAAGTAGAACTACACCAGGACTGAACCAGGACTAAAGCAGGACTAAACCAGGACTAAAGTAGGACTAAACCAGGACTAAACCAGGACTAAAGCAGGAATAAACCAGGTCTAAACCAGGACTAAAGTAGGACTAAACCAGGACTAAACCAGGACTAAACTAAGACTGAACCTAAGTTAATTGCAATTTGGATCTTGTACAAATCTTGCCACAATATTCAAATTATAAAAGATCATTTAGGAACATTTTCTTAAACTTATTTGTGAATCACCTCAAGAACAATAAAACTTTGCCTTGACATTTTTACAGAATATTTGTGTTTATTTCAGGCTGGATTTACTTATAAAGTCATTGTGTTACTTTCTGGGTATTTGCAACTTTCTTAGGCAGACCGAGTTCCAGGTCAGATCTGTGGAGAGGCGACCCCGCTCACAGTCATAATATCTGTTTTTCTATTATAAAACCACCTGGAATTGAACACATGTAAAGTCGATCTGTTTAAAGTCACACTGTGGAACATTTTAAGCGAAGCCTCAACCAAAAAGTTACACAGTGCAGCTTTAAACAGACCTGAACAAGATCCTTTTACTTTTCTGCTGTGTTCCAGGAAGAATTTTTTAAGGTTCAGTGAATGTTGTAAAAGGGTTGAACCTGAGAGCAGCACCGAGACCTTCTAACCCTCCTTTCACTCCTTTTTCTTCTTCTCCTCTTTCTCTCCTCCTGTTCTGCCTCCCTCTTCTCTTAAACCTCTCTTCTCCTCTGTCTCCCTCTCTGCTCTCGTCTCTATCTATCCAGTCTTTCTCCGCGTCCTTTCTCTCTCTTCCTCCACCCCGATGTCCCTCCTTCCATCTCTGTCCATCTCTCTCTCTCTCCTGTCCCCTCCCCCTTTTCGTCCATATTTGACAGTTCAGTTCCCTTCATCTCTCGCTCTCCGTCTCTCTCCTCTCTTTCTCTTTATACACATATTTGACAGATCCCTCCCTCTCTCCCTCTCCTCTTCTCTCTCCTTTTTCTCTTCCCCCCTTTCTCCCTGTCCCCTTTTTTAATGCATGTTTGACAGCTTTCTCCCTCTCTCTTCTGTCTCTCTCCCTTCTCTCTCCTCTTTCTCTCTCTCCCCCTTTCTCCGTATATTCCATATTTGACAGCTCTCTTCTCTTCTCTTTCCTCTCTTTCTTTCTCTCTCTCTCCTTATAGCCCATATTTACCAGCTCCCTCCCTCTCTCTTTTCTTCTCTTCTCTCTCCTCTCTTTGTCTCTCCCCCTTTTCTCCCTCTCCCCTTTTTAACGCATGTTTGACAGCTCTCTCCCTCCCTCTCTCTCTTCACTCTCTTTCCCCCTTTCTCCTTCTCTCCTTATAGCCCACTCCCTTCCTCTCTCTTCTCCCTTCTCTCTCCCCTTTTTTAATGCAGATTTGACAGCTCTCTCTCTCTCTCTCTCTCTCTTCACTCTCTTTCTCCCTCTCTCCTTACAGCCCATATTTGACACTTTCCTCCCTCTCTCTCTCTCTCTCTCTCTCTCTCTTTCTCCCTCTCCCCCTTTTTAAAGCATGTTTGACATCTCCCTCCCTCTCTCTTTCTCTCTCTTCCCCCTTTCTCCTTATATTATATATGTGACAGCTCTCTCCCTCCCTCCCTCTCTCTTCTCTTTCCTCTCCTCTCTTTTCCCCTTTCTCTCTCTCTCCTTAAAGCCCATATTTACCAGCTCCCTCCCTCTTTTCTTCTCTTTTCTCTCCTCTCTTTGTCTCTCCCCCCTTTACTCCCTCTTCCCCTTTTTAATGCATGTTTGACAGCTCCCTCCCTCTCTCTCTCTCTCTCTCTCTCTTCCCTTTCTCCCTCTCTACTTATATTCCATATTTGACAGCTCCGTCCCTCTCTCCCTCTTCTCTTCTCTCTCCTCTTTGTCTCCCCCCTTCTTGTCTCTACTCTTTTTATCTCTCTCCCCCTTTTTAATGCATGTTTGACAGCTCCCTCTCTCTTTCTTCTGTCTCTCTTCCCCCTTTCTCCTCATATTCCATATTTGACAGCTTTCTCCCTCTCCCTCTTCTCTTCTCTCTCTTCCCCCTTTCTCCTTATATTCTATGTGTGACAGTTCTCCCCTTCCCTCTCTTCTCTTTCCTCTCCTCTCAACCTCTCTCTCCCCCTTTCTCTCTCTCTCCTTATAGCCCATATTTACCAGCTCCCTCCCTCTTCTTTTTTCTCCCTCTCTTTTTAATGCATATTTGACAGCTCACCTCCCCCCCCTCTCTCTCTCTCTTTCTCTCTCCCCCCCTTTCCCTCTCTCTCTCCTTATAGCCCATATTTGACACCCCCCTCTCTCTTTCCTCTCTTTCTCCCTCTCCTTTTTTTATGCATATTTGACAGTTCCCTCCCTTTCTCTCTTTCTCTCTCCTCTCCCTCTCTCCTTTTAGCCTCTTCTCTGACAGCCCTCTCTCTCTCTCTCTCTCTCTCTCTCTCTCTCTCTCTCCTCTCTCTCTCTCCTCTGTCTCTCTCTCTCTCTCCTCTCTCTCTCTCTCTCTCTCTCTCTCTCTCTCTCTCTCGTACACTCCGGCTCCACTCTGGATTTTAAAAGTTATTTTTGCCCAACATGATTTTTTCTCCGCTGCAGGACGACAGACGGACAAAGGCTTTAAAAGGGCCGCTCCCTCTCCCCTTCTCTCTCCTCCCCTCTCTCTCTCTCTTTCTCTCTCTTAGTGTCCCTGTTCATCTCTCTCTCTCTGTGAGGTGGAGTAGATCTTTCCTGTGGTGGATGCTACAGACTCTTTTTTCTTCTTAGAGAAATGGACCAAATGCACTTTAACACATGATGTTGTTTTCTTTGGTGCCACTGACCAAGTTGATTTATTCTTATCTGTGAAGAGGGAAAAATGTAAAGTACAAATTTGCTCTAAATAAATGGATTTATCCATCTGTAGTCTAGAGCGAGACAATTATAACAGAGCAGAACATTAAAAACCTGAATGCTTTGATCGTTTCTCTGTGTTATGATATTATATTGTGATGTGTGACCGACTGTGGATGAATCATTTCAATAAAGTTTGTCCTTATAGACATTTTGTGACCTGTCACTTCTGGTCTATAACATTAAATAAAATTCAGATTTGTAGAGATTTGAGCTGTGAAGGTTAAAAATATTGTTGGTATAGAAAATAATAAAACAATCTTCATGCAAAGTGTAACAGTGACCACCAGAGGGCGGTGCTCAAACTGCTCATGTACACAGTACACTGTAGACCATAGGTTTGAACAGCTCCTCTCCCCTTTCCTCTCCCTCTTTCTCTCCTCCTGTCTCTCCCCCATCTCTCCTTCTCTCTCCTCTGCTTTCCCTCTCTCTCTCCTCTCTCTTTCTCCTCCTCTCACCTGTTGTTCTTTGAGTCTCCTCTGGATCTCCTCACTGTGGCAGACATTGTAGACCACAGGTTTGGGCAGTCTGGGCTCTCTTTCCCCTCTCTCCTCCTTTCCTCCCTCTCTCCTCCTCTCCTCCTCTTCTCCTTCTTCTCCCTCTCCTCTCTGATCTCTCTCTCCTCCCACTCTCTTGTTCTTTGAGTCTCATCTCATCTCATGCAACCACAGGTTTGCACAGTCCAGTCTCTCGCTCCCTCTCTGCTCCTCCTCTCCTTCTTCTCCCTCTCCATCAAAGGCTGCAACAGTTCAGTCTCTCTTCCCTCTCTCCACCTCCTCTTCTCCTCTCCTCCCTCTCCCCCTCCTCTTCTCTTCTCCTCTCTTCCCTCTCTCCACCTCCTCTTCTCCTTTCCTCCCTTTCTCCACCTCCTCTTCTCCTCTTCTCCTCTCCTCCCTCTCTCCACCTCCTCTTCCTCTCTCTCCTCTCTCCTCCTCTCTCTCCTCTCTTCCTCTTCTCCTCTCTCCTCTCTCCACCTCCTCTTTCTCTCTTCCCTCTCTCCTCCTCCCTTCTCTCTCTTTCCCTCTCTCCCTCCTCTCTCCTCTCCTCCTTCTCCACCTCCTCTTCTCCTCTCCTCCCTCTCTCCACCTCCTCTCTCCTTTCTCCTCTCCTCCCTCCTCTCTCTCTCTTCCCCCTCTCTCCTCCTCTCACCTGTTGTTCTTTGAGTCTCCTCTGGACCACAGGTTTGGACAGTCTCTCTCTCCTCTCTCCCTCTCTCCTCCTGTCCTCCTCTCACGTGACAGTCAGGTCCAATTCCTCCCCCTCTCCTTCTTCTCCCTCTCCTCTCTTGTTCTTTGAGTCTTCTTTGTTTCTCCTCACTATGGCAGATGTTGTAGACCACAGGCTGCAACAGTTCAGTCTCCCTCTCCTCTCATCTCCTCCTCTCCTCCTCTCTCTCCTCTCATCTCCTCCTCTCCTCCTCTCATCTCCTCCTCTCACCTGTTGTTCCTTGAGCCTCCTCTGGATCTCGTCGCTCTGGCAGACGTTGTAGACCACAGGTTTGGACAGTTCGCTCTCGATCCGTGAGAGCCATGTTCTCAGGTTGCTCATGTTCTTGTCCAGTTGCTGCACGGTCACCAGAGTCTCCTTCAGCTTACACACCCTGAAACACAACAGAGCGCCGCCTTAGAACCGTCCCAGCGTGTAAACAATCAGTTGGATCACTTTGGTTTGATTTAGAGACAGATCTATTCAGGTTTTGTTTTCCTTTAGGTTTAGTCTCATTATTGTGTAGGGCTCGGTCAAGATCTCCTGAAACAAAATCTCTATTGTGAGACTTTTTGCCTCATGTCCGGAGTGACATGAGGCAAAAAGTGAGTGTGGAGTGAGTATGACGTCTCCCATAGAGGCTCCAGTCAAATGAAGCTCACCGAGGCCTGCAGTTACAGAAGATAAAACACCAGGATAATGTAGAGTGGGTTAATACGAACATTTTCAGATCAAAATGAGCGGCCTGACAGCAGCAGTTACAGAGATGGGTCACACTTATTTAATACAAAAAGAACTGGAGCCAGAGTCAATGGAGCCAGAAATGCGTCCATGCTCACTTCCTGTTTGGTTAGTTATGTCCATTTATAGATTTATACACAGTCTATGCCCATGTCTTTACTTTTGGAATGGAGAAAAAATTGATGGAGAGTTACATTTCTTGAGAAGCTGTAGTTCCAAAAAAACAGTGCTACAATTATTGCAAAAGTATTAATAAAAAAATATAAAACATTTTAACTGAGCTGAAAAATGTATTAATAATCATTTTAAATCTGTCAAAATCTTGTTTTGATTTCTTGAAGCTACATCATGTATCATCTTGTTTTGTGGAACTCATGTCTATCCCCACTAAACCCTAGATTAAAATGTGCAAAAACATCTAAATATAGACATATATAGAATTGAATTTAATGTGATGATACAGTATCGATATTATGAAAATGCAGGAGCTTGTGCAACAGAGTTTGAAAACCACTGGGTTACACTGTCTCTACACTATCCATATATCGTGTCGTTTAATGTGATGATACAGTATCAATATCGTGGGCTGATGTATCGATGTATCGCCAAGAGTATTTTTTGGTCTATTTTACTAAATTCTTTTGTTACAGCTACAGTTTTGTTGTTTGTTCAGTGGAAGGAAACTTGTTTATGTGACATATTTGACATTTTCACTGTTTTGATGATTTAAATGTTTGTGTTTCATTTGAACTTTGGTTTAACAAACAGCCATGATTTAACCTTTATTTTTTATTAAACCATATTAAATCAATTTGAAATACATCGTAATGAATCGTATCGAGTCGTAAGCTCACTGAGGTATGTATCATATCAGCAACAATTGAATGATACCAGCTCTATATAATATTTAAAAAGCAGGATGCTCATGCAACACAGTTTGAGTTAAACTGTCTCTACACTGTCCATGTATCGTTTAATGTGATGATACAGTATCGATATCGTGGGCTGCTGTATCGATATATCACCAAGAGTATTTTTTGGTATATGACTAAATTAATTTGTTACAGCTACAGTTTTGTTGTTTGTTTAGTGGAAGGAAACTTGTTTATGTGACACATTTGACATTTTCACTGTTTTGAGGATTAAAATGTTTGTGTTTCATATGAACTTTTTAGTACCACAGCCATGATTTAGCCTATATTGATTTTTTTATTGAACCACATCGATTTGATTTGAAGATATATCAAATTCAATCGTATCAAATTGCAAGCTCACTGTAATAAGATATATATCGTATCGTGGCTTATGTATCGAGGTGTGTATTGTATCGACGACTTCTGAATGATACCCAGCCCTACATTAGAATATTAACAACACAGGATCTCGTGCCCCACAGTGTGAGAAGCACTGTGTGACATGATCTCTTCTGTACATTAAACACGAGCTCCATGGTCCAGGGTGGAGAGAGGAGGGCGGAACATTCCAGCTCTGCTCCACTGACACACTTCACACACTAGAACACAAAAACAAGAGCCCACAGAGACACGAGGCATGGACCTGTGCAGCACTTCTACTTACAGAGCTCACAACAAAACACAGAGTACAGAGTCTAGTTCTCACGCCTCTAAACAATCTGTCTGTCCTGGTTTAGTGTCATTATTTGGATTTGTATTCTTTTAAATTATTTAAAGGGCCCATATTACACTATTTTCTGATATATTTTGATGATTCTGACTAGGGCTGTGCAAAAATATTGAAATATCGATATATCATATCGTTACATGTGATGATACAATATCGATATTGTGGGCTGTTGTATCAATATATCATGTATTTTTGTATATTCTATATAAAGAGTATTTTTGGTATCTTTTACTAAATTATTTTATTACAGTTACAGTTTTGCTGCTTGTTTAGTGGAAGGAAACTCATTTATGTGACACATTTGACATTTTCTTTGTTTTGACGATTTAAATGTTTGTGTTTCATATGAACTTTGTACAAGAAGTGGTTTAACAAACACTTTTAGTATCACAGCCATGATTTAGCCTTTAATTTTTATTGAATCATATTGAATCCATTTGAAATATCGTATCAAAAGCTCATGTATCTATATGTATGGTATCGGCCACTTCTTAAGGCCTAATTCTGACACAAACAGACCTGGACTTGTGTTTTGTTTCATTCACATGTTTAACACACAAACCCTGCACATTTAGACTGAGTTCTTCTCTCGGACAAAAAACACTCTGTTCCACCTTGTGATGTCATGTGGTAATACAGGAAGTGCTCCACTTTAGCTCCATTTTAGTCCTGGAATCAGGGGCAGCTCCAGACATTTTTGGTTGGAGGAGCTATGAGAGTGTGCTGAGCTTGAATGTCTGATCAAATTGGGGCACAAAACTTTAGAGGAGCTATAGGGGAGTGTTGGTGATTCTAGGAAAGGCTAATGCCCCCTCGAGCCCCTGTCACCACCCACGCCTCGAATGACTGAACTGAAGGTGAAAGGTAAAAGCTATTAACTTGAAAATGATCACTTCATGACATCATATGGTGGAACAGAGCCTAAATGTGCAGGCTTTGTGTGTCAAACATGTGTGAATGAAACAAAACACAACTCCAGGTCTGTTTGTGATGAGGAAACATACAGTAGATCATGACATAGTGTAATATGTGCCCTTGAACATTCACACAATGATGTATGTATGTGTTGTGTTTGATCTGATTGGTTGTTTAAGGCCTGTAATAATCTGAAATGCCTGTGGTCAGTGTTCTCATGAGGAGGGCGTGGCTCCTCTTGTGCCTGCCCCTCCACCCCTCCTCCACCTCTCCTCCACACCTTCTCCACACCTCCACATATCTCCTCCCCTCCTCCCTTCCTCCTCTAAATCTCTGTTTGAGTTATTGTAGACGTCTTTTGTTTAGGTTTAAGTCTGCGCTGTCAGACTCAACTGAACCTGATCCTGTCGCCGAGGCTCACGTGTGCAGCACAAACCTGTATTTCCACTCGGCAAAAATCTGCACCAAAACAGACCTCAACCAAAACACTGCACACAACAAAGAAGAAGAACGACAACAACAGAACACAACAAAAAAGAAAGGCCCATATTACACCATTTTCTGATCTCTGTTCTAATGTTTCCTCATCACAAACACACCTGGACTTGTGTTTTGTTTCACATGTTAAACACACAAACCCTGCACATTTAGACTGAGCTCTTCTCTCAAACTGAAAACACTGTTCCAACTTGTGATGTCATGTGATAATACAGTAAGTGATCCACTGTGTTTTTAAACTCCGCACATCTTCACTAGAATCATTTGGATCATTTCAACCTTGGACTTGCCCATTTCTACTGAACTAGAAGCTGTTAACTTGAAAACTACCACCTCATGACATCACAAAGTGGAGCAGAGCATTTTGAGCTTTGGAGATGTAGACAAACTAATAATAAAGAATTACTCAAACAACTGTGAATGAAACAAAACACAACTGCAACTCTGTTTCTGTCAAGGCAACAACATTCTAACATGACTTAAAACTAGGGCTGGGCAAAAAAAAAAAAAAAAAAAATCGCATGAGTTCAAGTTAATATAATGGAATGGAAATGGACCAATCACAGTTTTTCTTCCAATGGTATCTGGGTAAATCAGTGACTCGGCCCGCGGCTGGAGTCAGAGTCGGAGCCTGTGGCCGAACCCGCGGCTCGCGGAGGCTCGGACATGTTGCATCTCACGTGGTCAGAAAAAAGTGAAAAAAAATGTAAAGAAAAGACGTCAAACTTAAAGAAACGCTCGCGGTGGACTTTTTCAAAATAAAAGCCAGTGAGCAACAGACGTTTACAATAAAATAAATAAGTAAATAATAAAAACTTAACGGCGTTAAAATAATTGGTGGTGATAATGACTTAATTAGTTAATGCAAAATTAACGCGTTAACGTGCCCGGCCCTACTTAAGACTTAAATTTGCGTAATATAGGATCTTTAAGGCCATGTTATAGGTCAGATCTGTGGAGAGGCGAGGATACATGCAGATAAGTTTAATGCAATACTATGGGACATTCAAGGAAAAGCAACATCATCCACATGGAGACAAGCGGGTGGTGGAACTCCCAGCAGAAGTTGCATAAATGTACAAAATTTGGGGAATCTTTAAGCACAGAAGAAACTGCACAAAACACAATTTAATTAGAATCACTTGATACTTTGCAGCTGAAGTCATCAACATTCTCTGGGGGTGTGATGTTAATAGTAGATTCTGCTCTGTCTGAAGCGCCGTGACTCAGGTTAGACTTTAATCTGAGCTTTGTTTTACGCAGACTCACCAAAAACAGCTACAAGAGTCGAGATGATTTGCCCTGTTAAACAAGTCCCTCTCAAATAACATGACAGTCACAAACCAGCCAGTGTTAGTCAGGTTTTCAGTTAGTCACTCTCATCTTTTTGTTCAAAATCAAACCTCGAAATGCTCTCGCTGGTCACAGGCTCCTGAAAATATGTTGTTTAAATCAGATTAATAAAAATAAATCATATTTTTATTAATACAAATTAATAAAATAAAAACCTGGCTGTGTTTGTTAATGCGCACATTTATGTCACCATGGTAACTGCTGAACATTTCTCCGTAGACATGGGTAGAGTGACCAGATTTT